AGAGAGAGAAAGAACATGTATCATAAAGTTAACAATCTGCGTTAGAATACTTTCCCTTTGCTTTTCAGTATTTTTCGTAAACCATAAATGTATTATCATAAACAAAAGCCATTTTACATGGATTTAATACTTAAATAAATGCATAAAACAGCCTTTAAAAGGGCTATTCTGCTATTCTCAGGGTACAGAATAGTTTGTTTCTTAATCTAAATTCATTAAACTGTCAATGATAGCTCTACATTTGATTATCATAGAATTCAATTTTTAAAAATTTTTTTAACATGAATTTTTCTTTATATCAGAATTTAACTAGAAACCAGGAATCTGAGACATGCTTGTACTTGTTTCCAAAACTCCTTGCTCTCTTCAATTCCAACAGCTTTCCCCTCTACTCCATGTACACACTATTCCTACTTTCCTTTCTTTTATCCTTCATTCATTAAACTTTTATTATTGAGTATCTACTATGTGCAGAGACATAAGGGACACAGTCTCTGCCAAAAGAAAATCAAATCTCCTGTGAAGACATATATAGAATGGACAATTATAAACAATGTGTTAAGTATACCAATAAGAGATGAGCAGAGGGTTTCACTGGGAAGTACTAAAGGGGGGTATGTGCAGCCAATGTGAGAGAAGTGGAAGAGTGAGGAAAGGTTAAGTTTCAGAAGAGGAGTAGGAGGTCTCCAGGTAAAGATCGGGATCAAAGGCAGTCCTAGCAGTGAGGAAGCGTGAAAGAAGAGTAACATTATGGGGAAATACAAATGGCACACTATTGCCAGATTTATTAAGTGTAAAGTAGGGAATGGGAAGAGCTGAAGCCATATAGATAGGCAAGAAGCAGATCACTGAGGTCTTGACTGCTGTGTCAACATACAAATAGAGTGATTAGAATCTTCTTGCTCAAAATGTACCTTCCGAATTCTTGTTACAGACTTTAATCTACTGGGTTTCAAGATCACAAAGCCCATTTCTATATTTAAGAAAGAATCTTTTTTTTTTTTTTGCCCAAAGTGACTTTTGGGAAAAAAAAAATTGCAGTTGTTAGATATATACTGTTACATGGAATAGTCATTTTTGGGAAAAGACTGAAGAACAAATCCTCCACCAAGAACTTCTCATTCACGTAAATGAACGCAAACGTGTAGCCTGGTCCCTTCTAAGCATGTGCACATTTCTTTTCCTTTCTTTAAAAAAAACCGTTTCAGAGTTCCATCGGTAGCAGAGTGGACCCCAGAGAGCCCTGTGCAGCCCCACCACCTCCGCTGGCCTAGTTACCATCACACATTGGGAGGAGCCGCAGCTGCCGCAGCTGGCCCCAGTCACCGTCACAGCTACCATGAGCAGCGAGGCGAGACCAAGCAGCCGCCTGCCGCCCCCGCCCTCAGTGCTGCCCACACCAAGCTCCGCACCACCAGCAGCGGTGCAGGGAGTGGTGGCCGGGGAGGCCTGACATCAGTGGCGTCTGCCGGCGGGGGCAAAAAAGGCATTGCAACGAAGGTTTTTGTGGACAGTAAAATGGTTCAATGTAAGAAACGGATATGGTTTCATCAACAGGAATGACACCAAGGAAGATGTATTTGTACACCAGACTGCCAGGAAGACTAACCCCAGGAAGTACCTTCGCAGTGTAGGAGATGGAGAGACTGTGGAGTTTGATGATGTTGAAGAAGAGAAGGGTGTGGAGGCAGCAAATGCCACAGGCTCTGGTAGAATTCCAGTTCAAGGCAGTAAATATGCAGCAGACCGTAACCATTATAGACGCTATCCACGTCGCAGGGGTCCTCCATGCAATTACCAGCAGAATTATCAGAATAGGGAGAGTGGGGAAAAGAACAAGGGATGGAGGGATCGGAGAGTGCTCCTGAAGGCCAGGCCCAACAACGCCAGCCCAGCCGCAGGCGAAGGTTCCCACCTTACTACATGCGGAGACCCTACGGGCCTCAACCACAGTATTCCAACCCTCCTGTGTAGGGGAGAGTGACGGAGGGTGCTGACAACCAGGGTGCAGGAGAACAAGGTAGACCAGTAAGACAGAATATGTACCGGGGTTATAGACCACGATTCCACAAGGGGCCCTCCTCGCCAAAGACAGCCCAGAGAGGACAGCAATGACGAGGATAAAGAGAATCAAGGAGATGAGACCCAAGGCCAGCAGCCGCCTCAACATCGGCACTGCCGCAACTTCAATTACCAACGCAGACGCCCAGAAAACCCTAAACCACAAGACGGCAAAGAGACAAAAGCAGCCGATCCACCAGCTGAGAATTCGTCCACTCCAGAGGGTGAGCAGGGCAGAGCTGAGAAAATGCCAGCTTACCATCTCTACCATGGTCCGGTTTAGTCATCCGACAAGAAGAAATGAATATGAAATTCCAGCAATAAGAAATGAACGAAAGATTGGAGCTGAAGACCTTAAGTGTTTGCTTTTCACCCGTTGACCAGATAACTAGAACTATCTGCATTATCTATGCAGCATGGGGATTTTATTATTTTTACCTAAAGACGTCTTTTTTGGTAATAACAAACGTGTCTTTTAAAAAAGCCTGTTTTTTCTCAATACGCCTTTAAAGGTTTTTAAATTGTTTTACATCTGGTCAAACTGAGATTTTTAAGAACTTCATTTTTAATTTGTAATAAAAGTTTGCAACTTGATTTTTTTCAAAAAAGTCAACAAACTGCAGGCACCCGTTAATAAAGGTCTTAAATAAGTAAAAAAAAAAAAAAAAACTGTTTCAGAGCTTGACAAGGCCTTCTGCAAAAGCCAACAGTACCCTATCACACTAATGCCTCCTATGAAATGGGCATCTTGGTGAAGATAAGGTTGGCAGAAGAACCAGAAAGAAATCAAGTTTTCAATCTCAAAACAAAAACAAAAATGTTACTCATTGCCTCAGGCCTAATGGTAAATCTGTGGTATGTACTTTTTAATCAGAAAAGATAAGACTGTACTTACATCTCGGGCTTTCACATAGAAGGCCTCTTGAAAAGCAGCTTCTAATGAGCCAATAAAAAATACAGGATGGCAGTCACCATATCTACAGGAAAAATTGAGTCTGTTAATTAAAATACATTTCAAATTCACTTCAAAGTTTCACAAGTCTAACCAATGACTTTTAAAGTAACATTGGGACTAATGTCTAGTGCAAACTAAACATTAAAACATTTCTTCAAAAGCTTGGAAATGAACAATTAGCTTTTAGAATTCTTCTTGGCCTATACTGATATATTAGAACGTGGGAATTTTAAGTATACCTAGCAAATGGATTTAATAAGTGCTGTGAAACCATGCCATTTATAAGGAGCAATTCTTGATTACTCACTTTCAAAATAAGATATTCCTAGTTACATTAGCCTTAACTTCCCACTTTAGTTCATTTATTACATAATTCCAATACAGAGGAAAGAAATGGTTTCTTGCAGTTTCTATGTTATAGTATAATACATCAGAAAATAGCACTAAAGAGAAATACAATTTATACCAAAATTGAGAGTTAAATATTAATCCTTTTTATATTTAAATACCTCACCAGAGTGTCAAATACATACAAAACATTTTATATTTATATTAAACTTTTAAAAGAAGAAATGCTAAACAATTCCAAAAAAAGTTAAAAGAAAAAAATCCACTATATCTAAAGTTTTTAAATTACCTTTTTACTTAATTTTACTTTAAAGAATTTTTTGTTTGTCCTAGGATATACTAAAAATTAGTATCCTATATCCTAGTCCTTTTGGGAATATAATAAAAATATTAAATTAGGATCCATTTATTGAACTTCTATAAAGATATAGAAATAAGTTGAATAAATCCACGAAGTGGCAGAAATGATTTGCTAGTTATCTCACATTGAACCATACATGTTTCACTATCAGGGCTGTATAAATTGATAAATGTATCCTTTGAATACTTTAAGGAGAAATTTTAAGCAATCTATAATTAAAATTGCCCCAGAAAAATCACAGTAGCATGAAAGAACATCAATTTTATATATTTAATGTCCTAACCCTACCTTGAAGAAAACTCTGCTGTAAATTGTAATAAGGCATCTCCTTCATTTTCTGCGTTTTCTGGCACTAAAAAACAAACAAAAGAAAAAACAAAAACAAAAAAAACAAAACAAATAGACACAAAAAACAAACCACATAACATCTAATCCCACATATAAGAAATATATTTAATCAATAAAGAGGAAATAAAATTAAATTTTAGCTTCTGTGATATATCTGAGGGGACATTTTAACTTAACATATATTAGATTTTATCAAACCAGAATTAAAAACCTTAAAAAAATTCCAAGCTTATAAATTTTGGAAAACCAATTGACATAATCCTGCTAAGCATTTACAATATGTGCCAGTCGTCATTTAGGATTTCAATGTTTTCTTAAAATAGGCATCTTGTGATTAAATTACATAAAAAGAGTCTGACTTTATTTTAAAGGCCTCATTAATGGGGAAAATAGTCAATTTTATGTAAATATCACATAAACTTCTGCCCAGAGGAATTCTCTATTTCACAGAATAAATGAGTCAGTTAAGGATTTATTTTAGTGTTCATTTGCCATATAGCATTGCTTGTTATCCTACAGTATGCATCTCATTAAGTAGAAGTGAGATAGATGGCACATTTAGTTTACTTTTTTCCCTTCCAAAGATGGGAATACCAGTGAATGGAAAATGAATATTACTATCTTTAAAACTGGTAAGATGTGGGGAAACAAGTACCAGTTACAGAAAGTACAGCTGTTTGTTAACCTCTAGGACTAAAGTAAAGACAGTCGTAACTAATTATACATGTAAAACAAAAGTTACATTCCTTTGCATTTTTTATGAATTTTCCTAATGTGCCGGGAATTTTGGGGCTTAAGATAATCAAAATTCAAAAGGCTCTGGTTCTAATGAAGAATACCCACTCACTATATTTTATCTCTCCAAACCTGGAGGTCAGCAAGAGATTTTTAAGTTCACTGTCCTTCATAAGTTTATGTACTAGAAGGGAGAATTAAAATGCTAGACCCAAAGAGCTATTAATACTCACTCATTGAAGATTTTCTCAGGGCAGATGATGCCATGCCGAATACTTCTCCATCATCCACTCCAAATTCTGTAGCATCTTCAAAGTCATCTCCATCGCTATCACTAACCATATGAACATCGGTGCTTTGCTATTTAAGGAAAGTCCTGATTAGTTTCATATTGACTTTAACATACCAAATTCTAAAGTGTAAGTTATATAATCACAATAGGATATTGGTCTTAAAGGAGTTTTAACAAGTACTTTTCAAATAAGTCGTTTACTAGAGTAAAGCTTACTATTTTTCATTTTAAGGCTTATCTACTACATTTCTAAACTTGCTGTGATACTTGTAGACCAAAGGTTGGAGACTGAGGGAAAACAAAGAATGCTTACATACTCAATGAAGATAGGGATTTTCGTCTGTTTTATTTCTAGCCTATACTATACAATTAAGTGCTCAATAAACTAGGAAATGGGTACAACTGGAGAAGTCAGAGACAAAGTAAGCTACGAGTCTCTCAAAAAGCTCACACTAATCTATATTTGGCAGGTATATGGTATACTATCCTCATGGCGTTATCAGAAGATAACACGAAATACACTATATATGAGAGCTCTTTGTAAACTGAAGGCTATTAAATATGAGCTGTAATAATGATGTTTAATTTAGTGAACATTTATTGAGAATTTACTACGTGCTGGGCACTGATAAACATTCTTTGCTTATTTTGTTTTTGGCAACATCAGTTGACGTGTAAGGTATTAAAAACATCAGCTTCAAAATAAGAACGAGGCTGCTATTCTCTCTGGGGTTAGAGCGGGATTCCAAAATACTGAGATTTAAAGTATTAGAACTGGGTAGTGAGTACTGACAAATATTCAAGTGAGAAGAGGGTCCAAGCAAGGTATCTGGAGACATGCCTGTCTACTATGTTCAATAAAGTCTACAAAGACTAATTTAGTAAATGAAATGTCTTTTAAAAATATGGTATTATGTACTTAAGTTATGAAAATGGGGAAACTATTTGATCCTTTGGTCTATGCAACCTAACATAGGGATAACTATCTGACAGAAAAGCATTAAGAGAAACAGAATCTAAGACTCATAAAATGTAGCTAGAGTGGATGTTAGAGGTCAGCCAGTTACTGAATCATAGATTTTAAAGGTGGAAGGGATCTTAGAAATCTCTCTTTAGTGGTTTTCTAACTTCTTTTCATGGTGTTATCTTCCTCCCCTAGGCCCAAACAAAATATTAAGTAAAATGGCAATGCACACAATAGATAAAAGTAGGGCTACTCTCACTGAGGCAAAGGGAGGGCAATGGGGAGCCTGCTGTTCTTAGAGTTGGCCTTTTCTTCCTCATGTCTGTTTGACAGCTGGAGTACCTCCAAAGGATTTCAGAATCCTGTGGAATACTTTTTGGAACTGCTGATCTAGTAGGTCTAACAGTTCCAAACGAGTAAACTAAGATATTTACTCCATTTGACTCAGTATGCTTAGCATTTCCTTCTTGAGCATACCCGAGCATTAACGCCCAGAATCATAATTATAATATTTTCCCTTGCATCTTTAGGATAGTCTTTCCAATAGTTTAAACAGACAAGGCAATGAAGATACACTTGTTGGATGATACCCACTGTTCTGACTCTACCACTATTTCTTACAGACACCTTGGTTCTACGGGCAATCCTAATCCTCCCTTGTTTGTTCTGTAGAGTCAAGATAAACTATTCAACAGCTTAAAAATTCAACACCCTCTCTCTCATTTCAAAGCAGTAAGGGAGACTCCTCGACAAAACAACACGTTTACTAGGACAACTGTGCTTGAATTTCCTCTATGTTTCAGGCAGTCAAATATCTGGAGTGTGAAGTTCCCTTTAACTTTGAGGCTTAGTCTTACACAAGTAAAAGGCTCAAGATCTACAGGGCACACTAATACATTCCTTTACAGTGCCTAACCAGGTTCACAGATAAGCAAATGGAAAGAAAAAAAGGTCGGTATGACAGACCTTTTCACATCCTCTATCACTGCAGTCCCCAACCTCCGTCTCTTTTTTTTTGTTTGTTTGTTTTTGTTTTTTATTTCAGGATATTATGAGGGTACAAACATTTTGGTTACATTTTATGTCTTTGCCTCACCCAAGCGAGGGTCAGAGCATGCCCTTCCCCTCTACAATGCCCTCTCTTGCAAACGGGTTTGCACAGCAAGAGGTAAGTCGTACAGGAGGTGAGCAGCAGGTGAGTGTAGCTTCATCTGTATTTACAGCCACACCCCTGGTCTGTGGAAAAATTGTCTTCCATGAAACGAGTCCCTGGTGCCAAAAAGGTTGGGGACCTCTACACTCAGCTAAGCTATCACCTCAGCCTTTGCTTAAGTCTTGCCTAGTACACATCCCTTTCTTTGAGATGCATTAGGTAAAGATCAAGGGGTGGGGTGACAGGAGAGAAAAAAAGGGAATGTTCTCTATAGATGCTTCTTTCTTTTCTTACCCCTTCTACCTTACTGTCCCAGATCTATCCTCTTTCTCCAAATCCAGTTTTCAATTAAATAATAGCCCATTTCTATAATAATAGGGCTTTAGCTCATACTAAGATACTGATTTTAATTTTCTCATTGTGTCTCCATTATTCATTTTGCCTTCACAAAGTATAGAATCCTCCCTGAAAATCCCAGAAAACAAAATCCTACAACCATAACATCTTCAAAAGGAGGTATCTAAAAAGCCGATTTTGTTGAAAAAAGTATATTCCAAATATGAATTATTGAAGTATCTGCAAGAATGAGCTACTTAATTATGTATAAGGAACTCCCAATCTCTTCACATTTTCTTATCAGCCATCTAACAGGTTAAGAAAAGCTTTTTCTAAAAAATGAGATAAACAATCTTTTTTTCATTAATGTTTGCTGATGAGAATAGATAATCTCTTGGTATCAGTCATGGCTATTCTAAAATTCTTTGACTCCAGAAAAGCTATTTATTAAAAATTATAAAAACAACTAAAAAAAATCAGTGATTCTATTTTGGCTATTTATTGCATTCATTTGTTATCTTTATCATTCAGTAAACATTTACAAATCCCTACTAAGTGCCACAATGTCTGAAACTGTATGAAAGATATAGTCTATGCTCTCTCAAGGAGCACCATATGATATATACAGATAACTATAATACCGAGTGGTAAGTGTTTTGACATATAAATTCAGAGAATAATATCTAATTCAATAGGGGTGAGAGGATCAGGGAAAACTTTCTGGAAGATATGAAAACTAAACTGAGACAAAAATTTAGGACTCATAACTGGCATTAAAGCAAGATCATAATCGAAGCAGTTGTTCCTTTCAGCAAACATTCACTAATTACCTATTACGTCGAGGTACCAGGTTAAAAGCTGGGTATACAGAGATAAAACATGGCATCAGCCTTCAAGAAATTTCCATTCTAAAAGGAAGATATACTTAGTTGTGAATATTTCTTTTTTAGTGTGTTAAGTGATACAACAAAACTATGAGCAAATGTTATTGGAGAATAAAGGAGAAAGTGATTCGTAGGATCAGTGAGGAAGGCTATACAAGGCTTCACGCAAGTATTAACATTTAACCCACACCTTAAAGGAAAGATATCATCAGTGTGGTGGAGTATGTGTATGGGAAGATTGGTGAGGAGGGAGTTGTATACTAGGTAGAGTAAAAACTCACGCAAGGAATTGGGTATTAAAAAAAATCAATAAAGAATTCACAAAAGTAAACTGAATCATTAGCTCTATGTGTGAGACAGAAGTGTGGACTGGAAGTAAGGACAAAAAAGTTTGATAGAACTAGCTTGTGTTAGTCCTTAAATTGGCATGCTAAAATATTTGAACTTTGATGGCAAAATGGAAATCACTAGAGGTTTTTAGGCAGAGAAGTATTCAAGGAAACAACTCTGATGGCAGTGTGTATGTGTATGTGTGTGTTTGGGATGGGGTGGTGGCATATGGCAGATTACACAGGAAGATATGAGAGGGAAGACCTATTTCAAAGTTTCAGGTGAGGAACAGAGCATCTATATCTGAGCAGTAGCAGTGGAAATTAACTGAAGGTGACAGACTTAAAATACACTTCAGCAGAACTGATAGGACCAATTAGACTTGGAGATGAAGAAAATGGAAAAGGCAAAAATGACATCAAGATTTCTAGTCTGGGTGATTGAGTGGGTAGAGAAGGCCAAGACTGGTGAGGGAGGATATTGAGGCCAGTTCTCAGAATAAATCTGAAGTAGCTGTACTATATCCAGGTAAACATATCTCATAGGCGGCTGAAAAGAAAAATAAAAACTAAAACTAAAACAAAAATACTTTCTCAGGAGTTCAGGAACAAGGTCCAGAAAAGATTTAGATTTGGAAGCCATTAGCATATAAATAATAGTTAAGGTTACAAGAGTGAAGATGATCACTCCTATAAAAATATAGGAAGAATAGTGATAATGATTAGAATTCACAATAGCTCTCTATATGTATCTATATATTTTCCAATTGGTGAAGGAGGAGAACCCAGTAAGAAATGGATAAATGTTGTCAAAGATTAGAAAATAAATTGAGAAAGTGTTACAGAAGGAAGGTCTAAGAAAATTTCTAGAATAGGAGTGGATGACAAAAACTGTAAATAGGTTTAGTAGAATGAAGATTAAGAAAGAAATAGCTATGGTATTACAAGGAAATCAACAACCAACCACCACCACCACCAAAAAACCCTGAATTTTTAATCAAAAGTCATAGGGTTGAATACTCTTATCATTTTCTGTATGATTTTAGGCAAGTATCTTCACACTCCAACTCTAGAATATGACTAATATTGACCTAAAAATACTGTGAAAATGAAAGGAGATGACATAGTACGTACAGTAACTTACAAAAACTATTAATTGACTTTAATAGTTAAATTCAATTTTAGTCACACAGTACAAAGAAGCCAATTGTAGGGAGTTATGTGAATAGAAGATGAAGAAATAGAATCATCCAATACAGATCACTCTGAGAAACTTAGCTGTGGAAAGAAAAAAAAACAAAGAAAGATGGAGCTAAAGCATGAGGGGGAGTGAGGTTTGAAGGAATATATTTTTTTAGAAGATTTGAACATGTTTTCGGGATGAACAGAAGGAGCCAATAGA